AACATAGCACGGGTGCAACATGTTTGAATTACTATTTCCCCCAGAACTTTACTGAACAAAAGTAAGTTACGTGTAAGAAAAATGCTTTTTACTGGCGCACAGTGTGGCCATCTGGATGCAGAGGAGGAAAATAAAGGAACCAGCAAAGGCAGAACCGGTCCAAAGTTTGGGATCAAAAGTGCAGCTACACGCAGATTGGCTAATGCTAAAGCTAACGGGTAGCAGTCTCACGATCAAGTGACGCTCAGAAAAACATATGATGATCGTAAAACTAAGAGAGACTAAACTCTACAAGCAGATGAAAAGTCCCCACCATCCATTTTATCAAGTAACTTTAACACGTGTCCAAACATTCCCTAAACACACCGATACTTACATGACAAATGATCTCTAGAGCAGAAACATATAAAGCAAAGTGATCATGTTCGTGAGTCGTTTATTCGGAATGCCGTTTATCCTTTCCTTTCTGGTTCTGTGAAACCGTGGAACTAGGGGATGGAATCGAAAACTGGTTATTGTTGAGAACCAGCTCCCATTGTTTTAAATCCTAGCAATCTTTCACCACTTTTGCAAACATTTACCCTCATCAATTCGTCTGTGCGAATGACATCACCGTACACGTTGCGTAGCTTACGGAAGCAGGAAACATGACGTCTAAGCGGCACAAATGCTCGAAAGTTTTGTCATATTTTACAAGAAAGCATGAAAACAGTAACTTGCAATAATTGCAAAGTAGATATTTCTTCAAGGGAGGAAGAGTTACAAATACATAAAAGTAATTGGGCACAAAATACGTGATAATTTAAGAGTTAATGACGTGTTGTGACCCGCTCCGGACTAGTGAATTTCAACGCAGCAGCAGCGTTTGCATGTCCTCTCCTGTTAATACTACAGGTATCAGCTAACACTGCCTATCGTGTTCACGTCATTTACCTCGTATACACACACCTCCACACTAGCAGACTCCAGCGACTAAAGTCTGACCTGTGGTGAGAAGTTTCCCACCCTACAAAGCTACAGCAACACTGCACCCAACAAGAACATGACTCTGCCTTCTTGGAAAACATAAAGGAGAACATTTGGAAAGATCTTTCCAACCAGTACAAGTACGACTGATTATTTATCATAAAGAAACTGACAGTTATATTGTGGGAGCCGTGTGCCATTAGTTTTTTACCACCTGTTTAAGTACTCTGGAATTGATAGAGTTGGATCGATAGACAGAATCGACAATGTCATTGATATTGATAAACACGTATCAGTTCCCACCCGTACGTGGAACCAAGTTATTTCCTTTTTTTATTTGTGGCTTTTAGTGGTTGAAGGGTACAATTCTAGGCTACTGCCTATGTGTATATACATGTACCTTTTGTTAAGCACCAGAATAATATGCTCTGTTATATATTGCATCTATGTAAATATGTAAATAAGAATGTGTATAGGTGTATGCTTTTATTTTGAAAAGCAACTGTAGAGGAAGTTGAGCTTTGACCTCGTAGAATGACCAATAAAAAGGGAGCATTGATGTTTGTAGCTGCAATCAGTGTGTGCTACCACCAGTGAAGGCCCGTTGAAACAGATGCTCTGTTTATGGATTTATTTCCTCCTTTTAATCCTGGAGATTCGTTTTGGGAGTCTAGGCCCAACCGCTGGGTAAATAAAACTCTGCTAACACCTTTGTTACTATTTTTTCTTTAAATTATTCTCTTGAGTGTTGGTGCTGCTGCAACAAGCGAGTTTCCCCACTGTGGGATCGATAAAGTCTATTCTATACACCGGGAACGGAGAAAACTATGGGGGACTGGTCCACGTTGAAGCGCTCCAACTGTGTATCGCACAGACAATCTAACAAAGAATGTTTGCAACAGCAATGTCTGATTTTGATTCGATTTCAAAACCTAGAACCTTTAAACCTTTAAACATGATTTCACTTGTCCTGTTTATGGGAAAAAGTTTGATTAACTGGTTAATAATCAACTTCATATTGATCTTAGGTCTAAAGGCATCACAGAGCGTTAGTCAGAAGGACCTCAGGCAGAAAGAACGTCATTCAACTGCTGTTGGACACAAATGACACATTTTTATATTGCTAACTTAAATAGAAGTAGTTGTCATTTTGCACAGGAAACGTTTAAAGCTTAAGCATGCATGATATGAAATATCTAAATGATTGTTTTCTTTTAATTAGGGAGGACAACACATATATCAGAATCAGTTTATATCAGTATCGAAAAGTACGAGTTAGACAAGATCAGATATCACCAAAGAAAGCCAATAACAAGTATGCCTAGTAAGAGCGACTGTGATTGGTGGAGCATTCCATACTGTGTGTCAGGCCTACTAAATGTCTAAACATGCCCATCCTCATTTTTGGACTGACGAATATCACTTGGAATTGTTTTAGTTAATGCTCAGTAGGGCTGCAACAAACCATTATTTGGCTCATCGATGAATCGGATGGGGTCTCGACACGATTAATCAATTAATCAGATAAAACGGGAAAATTTAAATCAAACCAAACTTTATTTATAAAGCGCTTTTCATACGAAAAAATGTTACTCAAAGTTCTTTACAGATTGAAAAGACCCCACATATCCCACAAATGTCATTAACTAGATTACTTCATTAAAACTGCTAGGGAAACATTTTTTCTCTCCTTCCTTTACTTTATTCAACAACAGGATTAGAAAACAGTTCAATAGCGTGCAAAACCACATGCTATCACCTAAATATATCCATAATTTAACGACGATAGTCAAATTTTATGCATTTCATCAAGTTCAGTAGTAGCTACTAGAAATGCTAATAACATTTCATTTCTACTGTTTGAAATGTAATGGTGACATATTTATTATGTACGGTTGGGCAATAATCCAGTTTAAATTATGTTCACAGATCGACCTGTTTGTGAATTACATGCTACAGTGGCTTGCCACAATCCTGCTGTGTTGTTTGGCAGAGCAGACTCGACCATCGTGTTTTTCAGAACCCCACTTGATCATGAGCCTGCTTCCCTCTAGCATTAGCTAATCTACCTGGGGCGACGGTGGCACAGGAGTTAAGTGCTCGCCTCGCAATCGGAAGGTCGCAGGTTCGAGACCCGCTCAGTCTGTCGCTGTCGTTGTGTCCTTGGGCAAGACACTTAACCCACATTGCCTGCTGGTGGTGGTCGGAGGGACTGGTGGCGCCAGTGCTCGGCAGCCTCGCCTCTGTCAGTGCGCCCCAGGGCAGCTGTGGCTACATTGTAGCTTATCCCCACCAGTGTGTGAATGTGTGTGTGAATGGGTGAATGACTGATTGTGTTGTAAAGCGCCTTGGGGGGTTCCAGGACTCTAGAAGGCGCTATATCAAATACCATTTACCAGTGCCATTTTCAGATCTCTCCAGAGATGTTCAATGGGGTTCAGGTCTGGGCTCTGGCGGGCCACTCGAGGACATTCACCGAGTTGTTCTGTAGCCACACCTTTTGATATTTTGCTGTGTGCTTAGGGTCATTGTCCTGCTGAAAGGTGAACCGTCACCCCAGTCTGAGGTCAAGGGCGCTTTGGAGCAGGTTTTCATCCGGGATGTCTCTGTACATTGCTGTGGTCATCTTTCCCTCTATCCTGACTAGTCTTCCTGTTCCTGCCGCTGAAAAACATCCCCACAGCATGATGCTGCCACCACCATGTTTCACTGTAGGGATGGTATTGGCCTGCTGATGAGCGGTGCCTGATTTTCTCCAAACGTAACGCCTGGCATTCACTCCAAAGAGTTCAACTTTTGTCTCATCAGACAAGAGGGTTTTGTTTCTCATGGTCTGAGAGTCCCTAAGGTGCCTTTTAGCAAACTCCAGGCGGGCTGCCATGTGCCTTTTACTAAGGAGAGGCTTCCGTCTGGCCACTCTACCATACAGGCCTGATTGGTGGATTGATGCAGAGATGGTTGTTCTTCTGGAAGGTTCTCCTCTCTCCACAGAGGACAGCTGAAGCTCTGACAAAGTGACCATGGGGTTATCAGTCACCTCCCTGACCAAGGCCCTTCTCCCCCGTTCACTCAGCTTAGAAGGCCGGCCAGCTCTAGGAAGAGTCTTGGTGGTTCCAAACTTCTTCCACTTACAGATGATGGAGGCCACTGTGCTCATAGGAACCTCTAAAGCAGCAGAATTTTTTTCTGTAGCTTTCCCCAGCCTTATGCCTCAAGACAATCGTGTCTCAGAGGTCTACACTCAGTTCCTTTATCTTCATGCTTAGTTTGTGCTTTGACAAGCACCATCAACCCAGGGGCCTTATATAGACAGGTGTGTGCCTTTCCACATCATGTTCAATCAACTTAGTTTACCACAAGTGGACTCCGTTAATCTGATGAAACACCTCAAGGATGATCAGTGGAAAAAGAACGCACCTCAACTCAATTCTGAGCTTCACATCAAAGGCTGTGAATACTTATGTTCTTATGATTTCTCAAGTTTTTTTCATTTTAATACATTTGCAACAACTTCAAAGACACTTTTTTCACATTATCATTATGGGATGTTGTGTGTTGAATTTTATGGGCAAAATTAATTTAATCCATTTTGGAATGAGGCTGTAACATAAACAAAAGAGTGGAATAAGTGAAGTGCTACGAATACTTTCCAGATGCACTGTAGATTAGCGCATGGTGCATCAGTAAGCAACTTAATGTTCTAAGTGTGTCTTTCCTCATCAAAACACCAGCTTTCTCTCTCGTTCTGCTCTGTTGGTGCGCTGCACGCATTGACTGGTAAATATACGTTGTGCAACACACACTAAAAATTGCACAACGATTTTTATCGATTTTATCAATTTGTTGTTGCAACCCTATTGCCCAACCGTAATTAGCAAGTTTCCGCATGACACAACACTAACCCTCTAACATCAAGAAGGACCATCTCAGTCTGATCAAGGGCTCAAGAAGATATTACAAGCACACATATCTATCCGTGGCATCTTTCTGACCTCTCAAAGCCTCTGCTGGCAATGTGTGGAGGAAATCCTTACCTGCAGCAATGTGGGAGGCCAGCCGCTGTGCCTCAGGTGCTTTACTATAGAGATGTGGTGGCCTAAGCTGCGGTGGACTGAACAACATTCATCACAGATCAGAATGCCGCGGTTAATACTGCTCCATCCAGGGTCTAAAAAACACAAACAGTTACAAACGGTTGAACATGTACTAAACACTATAACACAACAGCAAAAAGTGGAGAATAGAGACAAAGGATTGTATGCAATCTGCTGGTTTTCTTTGCTTAAGAAACCTTTAACTATATGGTATAATGGACTGAACTCAATAACTATGCTTCCTTTATGATGTGCCTTGATAAAACTAGTCATGATTTGGCGCTATTTAAATAAACTAAACTGAATTACATCTGGTCAGGTGAGGAATTTGACTAGGGCCCAATCCCAATACTCGCACTGTGCCCTGCGCTCTTCAGCAAAATGCACTTGGAGAAAGTGCACAGTAAGGCTTTCATTGCGAGGTACAAAAGTCAGTAAATAATAGCCGAATTGAGACAGGGAGCATTGAGTCACGGATCACAACGCATGCCAGTATGTTGGTCGCTGTGATACTTTTGAAAAAAAAAAAAACTTGAACAAATTTCAAACAATCAAAAAATTATCTGAAATATTTTTACATTGATGGCTGCTTTGTCTGAATGTTTTAGAGCATCAACTAATTACCCTAAAATAAACTACTTTCACTAGAAAATACATATGTTTAGAAAAGAAACTTGAGCCTGTTCTCTCGCAGCAATGGATTGTTGGTAATGCACTTCACCCAAGTCCGCATCGATGCAAACTTGGATGAAGTGCGAATCAAGGGCGTAAAAGGGGCATGATCAACTTTGGCACTAGTGAAATGGGACACCCTATGCACCCACAACCCAGTCTGGATCGCACGGTTGATGGGCCGATGGAACACTGGACCAGCTCTATACCCGGGGGTGAGGGGGTGGAGGCAGATCCTGGAAGGTGCGTGGATATTTGCTCAACCAATCTACATGTGTTTTGTGGATTTGAAGAAGGCATTCGACCACGTCTCCTGGAGCACTCTGTGGGGGGTACCAGGCCCTCTGATAAGGGCTGTTAGGTCCCTCTACAACCGGTGTCAGAGCTTGGTCCGCATTGCCGGCAGTAAGTCAAGCTCATTTCAGGTCAGAGTTGGACTCCGCCAAGGCTGCCCTTTGTCACTGATTCTGTTCAGAACTTTTAAGGACATAATTTCTAGGCACAGCCAAGGTGTTGAGGGCATCTGTTTTGGTGGCCTGAGGATCAGGTCTCTGCTTTTTCAGATGATGTGAACCTGTTGGCTTACTCAGAACATAATCTACAGCTTTTGTTGGAGCGGTTCGCAGCCGAGTGTGAAGCAGCTGGGATGAGAATCAGCTCCTCTAAATCTGAGACCATGGTCTTGAATCAGAAAAGGGTAGAATGTCTCCAAGTCAGGGATGAGGTCCTGCCTCAAGTGGAGGAGTCTAAGTATCTTGGGGTCTTGTTCAGTGAGGGAAAAATGATGAGTGAAATCGATAAGCGGATTGGTGCTACATCTGCAGTGATGCGGGCGTTGTACTGATCTGTCATGGTGAAGAGAGAGCTTCAAATGAAGGGCGCGGGGGTGCAAGTGCGAGTATTGAGATTGGGTCAGTGAAGCTGGAGGAGAAGCGGGGTGATGTGGGTGTGTTTGGAGGGCTTGGTCAGAAGCCGAGCACAGGCATTCTGAACCACCTGTAGACGGTTCAGGGAGGATCTGCTCAGACACGTGAAAAGAGAGTTACAGTAGTCTAAGCGTGAAGAGATGAAGGTGTGGAGAACAGTCTCATGTTCAGAGCGGGATACAATGGGACTCAGCTTAGCAATGTTCCTGAGATGGAAGAAGGAAGAGCCAACAAGATAACTGACATGAGAACACAGGGTGAGAGCTGGGTCAAAGGTCACGCCAAGATTCCCGACGGAAGGTTTGGTGTGAGAAGCAAGCTGACCAAGAGAGTCTCTGACTTTGGGAACCAGCTTGTCCGGGGCACAGATGAGGATCTCAAAAGTCACACTGGAGCGTGCCCCAGAGCAGCAGTGGCTACATTGAAGCTTAACACCACCAGCATGTGAATGTGTGAATGGATGAATGACATAATAGCCACATTTACATGGACACAGTTAATTGGATTGAACACCCTATCAGATAAAAAGTTCTGCATGTAAACACGTCAACTGGAACGTTCCGATCTGATCCAATCAGAATGAAATTCCAATCCGATTGAGATAGGTGGTTTTGTCCGATCATCATTCCGATAGACGTGCATGTACATAGCCATTCGAAATGGTTGGAGTAAAATAATGCTCCCTGTGCATGTGTGCAACAGCTGGCGAGCCTCCTCACCTCATTTAGACTACATGACTTAAATAAATTACGCCTAATTAACGAGTACTGGCTTTTAAATGTGACGGCAAGCCGTCCCTGTTTCAGTAATATTTAATCCAGAACTTGCATTTTGTGGAAGTAAAATAAACATCTGATTGTTGCACAAATCGTTCGACAAACGTGTTCAAGTATGTACTGAAACACGCCGATTCATTTTAAGTGTGCTGTAATGAAGAGAAGGGGCCCAAAAACAGAACCCTGGGGAACACCTTTGACAACTGGGGAAGGGTCTGATCTGAAGGATTTGAGTTGTATGAATTGTGAGCGGCCTGAGAGATAGGAGTGGAACCAGTCAAGTGTGAGATCAGAAATTCCAATAGATGAGAACCTGTCAAGAACAATTAAATGAGAAATGGTTTCAAAAGCTGCGCTCAGATGAAGGACAATGGGGATGGAAAGTACGCCTGAAATAGCAGCAGTCAGAAGATCATTCCTGATTTTTAAGAGAGCAGTTTCTGTACTTGGCCAGGGCGAAAACCAAGTTGAAATCGTTCATAGAGATTGTTTTGTTTCAAGTAAAAGTGGAGTTGAGAGATGACAACATGGGGACGAGAAGTCCGGAGCAGAGTGGACCAAAAGTGGGGCAAGTTAACAAGCTATAAGGCAGAGTTATGAGAGTTTTAAGATGACGGTGGTCAGTTCAGCAGAGGTGTCAAACACTGCATGCATGGATGCCTTGGATGCCAGTGAGTATGACGCAATCCCTTAACGCAAATCCTCTTATTATGGGCTTTTAGACGGAAAGCATGTAAACATCAGCGTTATAACACTTCAAATGGGACACCGTTACATTCCCTCTGTCTACTGCACCAGAGGGGTAGGAGAATTACCTTCAAATCTGGCCAAAGATAACATTCGGTTGCACTTTAACTACTTAGCATTAGTGAGGTAATAAACAATCTTAAAACCTCAAGAGGCTCACCACTACATAGAAACAAGCTTGGTAGTATTTTGTTCAAAGAGGTGGGACTCAATCTTATTTTCTTAACCCGCTCAGGCTCAAAATAAGTTTTGATAAAAGGATGAACAACTACCGTATTTTCCAGACTATAAGTTGCCCTTTTTTTCATAGTCTGGCTGGTCCTGCGACTCATACTCCAGAGCGACTTATATACCAAATTATGTATACTGCGCTGCTGCGACCGGCTCCGGACCAGGAATGAGCTCCTCTGCCCCGCCATCATCTGCTGGAGACCGTTGCGCGCTGCTGCGGGCCGGCTCTGGTCCAGGTTTCAGCTCCTCTGCCCCGCTGGGAGGGTTTCAAACACCACCATCACCTGCTGCAGCCTGTGGCGGGGTCCTGCAGGTGCTCTCCCCGCCCGCTGGGAGGGTTTGAAACACTGCCTTCCTCTGCTGGAGACCGTGGCGCGCTGTTGCGCCCTGATTGTTTATTCTGTTATCGTCACCGGTACTTGTCTTGCAATGTGAAATGCTTGGTCTCAGATTTTGTAAGAAAAAAATAAAATTTCACCCCAGTGCGACTTATATATGCTTTTTTCTTCTTCATTATACATTTTATGGCTGGTGCGACTTATACTCCGGAAAATACGGTTAGTCCTTCAGGGGAACTTCTGAGTTAAAAAATGCTCATGAAATACATATGTGGAGTAACCAGGTAGGTAGGTTTTAACGTTGCTAATCTGCAACGCCTGCCTCCAGAGGGTTAAAGGCAGACGAAGCCAAGTAAGAGCCATAAATACCTTGTCACCAAGCCTGGGTTTTAGTTTTAGATTCTACATCAAACTACAGGATGGCACTTTTGGGTAAATAACGGCAGTCTAAACGTGCGTTACATCATATATTCAGAAAATAGCACACATAACATCAAACTTGTTGTTCTTGGAAGACTTGTAATATAACAGCATTCCCCTTTCCTACCCGGCTTCTCGTCTCTGGAGGTTTGTCATATCTAACAACAAAGTAGGACACAGGTGTTCCTCTTGGTTTTTCACAACAACATAATAGGAATGCACAAATAAAGTTTGCAGTGGTTTCCGAGTTAAGATTTTTCTGCCACATCCTTCTGGGATCCTCATGTCTGGGGAGTTGATGAAAGCTGCACCGACGCTGGCAGCCATACTCATTATAAACATTGCGTTTCTGGCAACAAATTTCATTTTCTGTGGTTGTTAGTACCACCTCAAACATCGTAACATCTTCCCAAGGCACGAGAGTGCATTTTTCGTGGGTAAATAATTTTTAAACTCCTCTTCAAATGTTCAAATAAACTGTTACTATCAGTTACTGTACTGTTGCTATTAGGAGGAAGGGTGTTCGTTGGGTTGTGTCACTGGGAACATGAAGGAAGGGCAAAGGCTCAGCTTAGAAAGGACATGATCATCAGTGGGTCTGAGGGTCACTGGAAGACTGCAGCTTTCACACCAAAGCTGGAGTTTGAATGCACACATCTATGAGGGGGCAAGCAGCTGCTAGCGTAAATGTACACAGGCACGAATGTGAGCTAGCTTAGCAATACCATACCATACCATTTTATTTATAAAAGCACTTTCAACACGACATTACAACCAACCAAAGCAATGTACATAATAAAACACCAAAACCATAAAATAGTTGCATCATAAAATCCATAAAAAAATAATACAACAAAGAACAAACAAAACAAAAGTAAAAACTAAAATAATTCCAAACAAAAACAATAAAATATATTAAGAGTAGTCAGACCACAGATTTAAGAAACAGTGGGAGGAGGTATGA